AAACCAAACCTTTGTCAACCTGGATTTTGTCTCCTGGACAAAACCAAACAAGCATATTTTTATACCGAACAATATCGGCTCCTAGAAATGAAATTCAAATAGCCAATGAGAAAAAAGACACTCAAGACAATACACTTAATACATAATAAATTAGGCGTTTAAATCCTTTAGACGCCTTTGGCCACCTCAGCCCTCAGGCCACTGCGCTTCGTTAAAAATCAAATCAAATAAAAATAAAAAAAACCCTAAGGAAATTCCCAGGCCAAAAACTTGGGGACGTTTGTTAATATCTCAGTCAAGGTGACCAAGATTCTGTTTCTCAACCCAGCCCCGACTCAAGTGTCTGATCCGATGCCGTTTTTCCTCCTGTTCTGTGTTGAGAAAAAATCCAGTGGGAATTTTTCCCCCACCGGAGTTTCAGGACGTTCCCCAGAGCAGATGGAAATTCTCCAGTGGAACTTTCTCCTTTTTCATTTCAAGATTTATTTCACAGTACGGAAAAATAAAGTTTTAAAAAAATATTTGTACCAAAACGGGAACAGAACGATGAGATCGACCCAAAATGACTCCCCTTCCAGAATTTCTTTTCACAGGAAGTTTCAATTTCGTTTGGCTCCGGTTTGGGAGTTTCAAAAATGGTGGATTTTCCTGCGAAAATGGAGGATCCGATTCCCACCCGGCTATCCCAAAACCGTGGGGTCTTTTGCGCCGTTCTCTGAAACGGCAACTCCCTGTGGGAGACGTGGCCCCCCCCGAGCTGATCCGGGGCCATAGGGATGGAGGCAGGATACCAGCCTAGATGGGCCCATGGAATAACCCATCGTCCTAGGACCTTAGGATCAGTGATGGAGATGTTTACCAGGTAATACGCCTGGAATGAGCTCTGCCCTCATGCTGTATACATGCACACACATCTCTCCCAGGAGACCCTACAATAACAAACCAAGCCTGCACAGCCCCTGACACTCCCAGCAGACCCTACAATAATAAGCCAAGCCTGCACAGCTCCTGGCACTCTCAGCAGACCCTACAATAATAACCCAAGCAAGCACAGTCCCAAGCACTTCCTGGAGACCCTACAATAATCATCCTAATTTGCACAACCCCCAGCCATCCCAGAAGACCCTACAATAATAAGACAACCCTGCACCGCTCCCCAGCCCTCCCAGAAGACATTACAATAATACATCAAGCCTGCACAGCTCCTGGCATTCTCAGGAAACCCTACAATAATACACCAAGTCTCTACAGCCCAGCCAATCCCAGGAGGCCAAATAATAACAAGCCAAGCGAGCAACCTCCAGCACTTCCAGGAGACCCTGCAATAACAAACCAGTGTGTAATTCCTTCCAGCCAGCCCAAACCCTTATTACAAACAATAAAGGAAAGTCTTAGGTCAGGTTCATTAACTTAATTTCATTAAGGTGATAAATATCAATCTGTTATTGTAGGGTCTCTTGGGAAAGTTGATACTGAGTACCCTGGTTTTTTTATTATAGGGTCTCTTGGGATGGGTAGGGCTGTACACATGCTGGTTGGTTATTCTAGGGTCTTTCAAGAGGGGCAGGGATGTACACATGCTGGTTTGTTATTGTAGGGTCTCTCAGGAGGGGTGGAGCTGTACGTATACCAGGTGTTATTGTAGGGTCTTTTGGGAGGGGGAGAGCTGTACACATGCTGCTTTGTTACTGCACGGTCCCTCGGGATTGAGAAGGCTGTGCACATGCTGGTTTGTTATTGTAGGGTCTCTCGGGAGGGTTAGTGCTGTACGCATACCAGTTGTTATTGTAGGGTCTTTTGGGAGGGGGAGAGCTGTACACATGCTGTTTGTTATTTTAGGGTCTCTCTGGAGGGGAAGGGATGAACACATGCTAGTTTGTTATTGTAGGGTCTCTCAGGCAGGACAAGGCTGTACTCATGCTGGTTATTATTGTAGGGTCTGTTGGGCAGGACAAGGCTGTACACATGCTGGTTTGTTATTGTAGGGTCTCTGGGGCAGGACAAGGCTGTACACATGCTGGTTTGTTATTGTAGGGTCTCTCGGGCAGGACAAGGCTGTACACATGCTAGTTTGTTATTGTAGGGTCTCTCATAAATGCCAGGACTGCATTTGCATTCTGTTACTCTAACGTCTCCCACAAGCAGATGGGATCGTCAAACTGGTACACCATCGCTGCAGCTGGGACTGAGTGGGCCCCTTCGTTATTGTAGGGTCTCCCGGTCTCCCGCCGCCAGGTCCCCACTTTGTGAACGACGACCCCGACTTTGCAAACGTTCGTCAGGCCCCAGGACAAGCCCCCCCCCCACGCCTCCTCCAGGCAACTGCTCGAAGCCTGAGCCCCATGAAGCCCACCCCAATCAGTCCCCTCCCTGTTGACTCACCCTGGCTCGAGGGCGGGGACGGAGAGGAGCAGATGAGACATCTCGGACCTGACCAGCCGCCCCACCATGCACGGAGAGAGGGAAGGGGATCTCCTCAGCTGAAGAGACGGGTGGTTTCAACGCTCAGCTATAAGCCTTCCTCCGTCCAGAGCTGGGGAGCTGGCCAGCTCAGAGGGGCGTGTGAGCCCCCTCGTGCCCCGAGTGCCGGGACGGAGCAGAATCAAGGTGCTGAATTCAAATCGCCAGGTGGCAGCCAGCTTCCAACTCTGTCTTCTCCAAGCCGGGGGTGGGGGGAGGGGAAACGATTGAAAACTCTCAGCCCCCAAAACTTTGTGACCCCAGGGAATTCCCAGGCAAAACCAGCACCGGCTGAAGGCAATTTGCAGGCCACAAAACCTCGTGAACGATGAAAATTGCCAGGTGACGGAATTTATTAGCTGAAAAAATTCCTGCTGGGGCAAATCGCTGGATTAAGTGAGGGGGTTCCAAAGAGGATGGAGCTCGGCTGTTCTCAGTGGTGGC